TTGTCGTAGAGCGCTTGGTCTCTGTGAAAGGTTTTCCAGAAACCTCGGGTTTTCCGTAAAAATTCGTTTGCAGAAGCGGCCTGAGATAACACAAAATTTTTCCACAATAATTTCTAGATAAAAAAAAAGTACGCTCTACAAGACCTACATGGTTGTTTGACTTCGATGTCTAAGACTGTTCTGAGAAAAAAGTGCCCCGTAAAACCTCATCGCTGAAAAATCGATTTTCTGGAATCTCATTATGCAGTATGGGGACCGAGAAAACTGATAATGCCATTAGATTCAGCATGCTGGGAAACCTCTAAGACCCAGCTCTTGCGAACTTAGCTTCAATATTAGAAAAGATAGTGAAAGTAAAAAATTCTCTCATTGAACATGTTTTATGCAGATCTTTTTTGCGGAAGTTTTTGTATTTTTAGATTTCAACCCTATTTCCGTTTTACAGCTTGAATTTTCAATACTTTGTTGACATTATATTTTATCTGTAAATAAACTCAGAAAGATTAAAAATGTCTATACGATATAGTTTTCAAGATAAGTCAAAACTAAACTTATTTCGAGAAAAGTTTCATTCAATATGAGACTTTCCAAAAGACTAGTTGAGGATATCTTTGTATTCTTTTAATATTTATGTAATATTTATAATGCCAACATATCAAGAGTTCAGATGGTGTGAAAAAGAAAAGATCAAGACGACGATCTTTTAACACTGTCATATGTTAGCTGTCCAATATTTTTGTTCTGATCCCTCTACCGTTTTGTCTCTACTATTTGTATATATAAAAGACAGTTGTTAAAATGAACTTGTTCTGTTTAGGTAAAACACATATTCGAACATTATTTTCAATTGAATGTGAAAATGGAAAATGCATTAAAGATTATTCATGTTTTCAAAGAGAAAGTGAAATATTGTTAATGCCATCAACGTACTTTCAAGTAATTGGTCATAATGATCAAGGTAATGGTTTACATATTGTTCATTTGAAAGAAATACAACCACCTTTTACTTTACTTCAACCACCACAAGGATTAGAATTGACTTACTCAACACAGCCAAAAGAATTAATATTAAAAAATCAAGGGTTAAGAATAGAGAATATTAGTGAAATTGCACAATCACTTAGAGGAAATAAAATCTTAAAGATTTTAGACTTAGGTGGTAACAACATAACAAATGAAAGCGCGCAAATTTTAGCAGAATCATTGTTAGAAAATGGTATACTAGAACTTTTGAATATAGATGGAAACGAAGTTGAAGATAATGGTATACAAGCAATTGCCAAGGTATTGGAAGTAAATCAGAGTTTAACAACTCTGGGAATAATGGATAATCGAATAAGAAAGAAAGGAGCAATAGCTCTTTCAGAAATGTTAAAAGTGAATAAAACTTTGAAGTTATTGAACATTGGAAATAATCGTATTGAGAATGATGGTTGTATATCAATAGCTGAATCATTAAAAATTAATAATTGTTTAGAAACACTTGGATTACCGGGAAATAACATTGGTGATAGTGGAGCATATGCTCTAGCAGAAATGCTTTTAATGAATAAATCATTACATTTTCTAAATATTGACAATAATCAAATTAACGAATGTGGTGCACGAGCACTGAGTGAAGCAATCCAAGTCAATAACACATTGAAAAACTTCTATATTCAAGACAATCAAATAACAGACGAAGGCAAAACATTACTACAGCAAGCGGCTAAGTCAAACAGAAATTTAAGAGTATTCAAAATGTAAACGTCTAATATCTATTATATTTTTTGAAAGCAGCTAGAGTAAAATATTTTTGGTAGCCTTTTACCTTAACAATATCATAAACGATAATTTCTAATAAAATTGATGAAAGAGTTTAGTACAGTATTACTCAAGGATTCTTAGGTATGCATAAAGAAAATATGGCAGCGGTTTTTCTGAGCGAAAAATAGAAAAAATAGAAAAATCATATATCCGTCCAGGAAAGTAGTTAAGACAGGATTCGCCAGTCCATCGAGAAAATGCATAACATGCAAAAATTTAACATATGATTTTTATTTTATTTTCAGATTCTGCAATCAAAATTGGACTGACGAAAAAAATGGTTCACTTCCAGACTTTATTTTGACCGAGTTTTCAAAATGAGTTGCATCGAAGAATCACAAAAATGAGCTTTGTCTCATACTTTCGATACAACTCCGCCATTTTTTATCTGTTCTGGTCGAGCAATGTCTCATTCGAAAGACCATCAAAAACTAAACAAAATCATGTACTTTCTCTTTTCCTAAACTCAATACTGATGTTGTAAGAGGTTCATCAAGTGAAGGATTATGATTTACACATACAAATTTTTTCTACCAAAAAATCCACTTTGGGCATACAGACTGAGTTTTCCTAGAAATGCGAAGGTGATTTCAGATAGGAAATTCAATTTTCTATAAACGGTGCTAAAAAACTTTGTTTTAAAAGCTCTGGAGCAGCTTGAAAAACTGAAAGCAGGACGGCCGACTGACATCGTTTCTTCAGATTTTCGGCATCAAGACTTCATTCTAAAACAAAATTAAGATAATATTTGGAATCAGCATTAAAGACTGCACCAGACAATGTGCCTTTGAAAAGCATGTTACGTACTTTCTCGATGGACTGGCGAATCCTGTCTTAACTACTTTCCTGGACGGATATATGAATTTTTCTATTTTTTCTATTTTTCGCTGAGAAAAACAGAAAAATGTCTATAAAGTCTGAAGAAAAAGCAAGCGGAAGTTGCGGACTTCAGACCTAAGTGAACTTAAGGAGACTTTACATTGTCTGGCTATACCATAGTTCCGACCTGGGTGGACTTACGGAAACTTTACCAGACTTTAAAGTCTGGAAAGTCCGCTCAAGTCGGGGGACTTTGGTGACTTTAAAAGATCTGAGAGGACTTTAAAGTTCGCTCAAGTCTATAAAGTCCGCAATTTCTCCTTTGAGGAAAAGCCACCAGTCGGAATCCTTTTAACTTTTACAACCTCGATATTCAACCTCGAGTTCAGTAACATGTGAACATGTGTTTAGTATATCATGGCTTGGCCAGACGTAACGGCGTGACATTAGAGTAAACTGGGGCAATTGGAAACGATTTTATGTAAAATACATGGCGTATCCAATTACCCCATCGATTTCTATTGTTGTTTCCGATTGCCTCAAGTGGGGTAATTGGAAATGTTCGTTAGAGCTTTCAGCAAAACACCGGGAAGTTCACTTGGGACACGGAGTTTTTGACAATTTTTAGATAGGCTTATAGAGAACTTCCTTCTCTACCTACCTGTAAAAAAATCTCAAAAAAATAATTAAAATTTACAAAGTTATACTAATTAGAAGTCCAGAGTGCATAAAATCGTTTCCAATTGCCCTAGTTGACTCTAGTGCTTGTGTTGACTTGTTCGAATTATTGTACAACAAATCGCGGATCATACTCAAGACAGGAAATGTATACTGTAATGCGCCGGAATATATCGTTATTCCACTAAATTACGTTTAACATCTAGTTGACATGTGGGTAGCAAAAGGTCGACTCTTGGTAAAAGAATGAAGATTTGAATAATGAGATTCTTTTTACTTTATTTTGATACAGTAGATTAATTGATATCACTATTCATATTAAAATGGAAGACAGAGAGAGAAATCTAAAGAAAGTATTTTCGAACTTTTAACAAAAGAATATAATAGACTGAATAAAAAAAATGTGAAAGAAACAGAAGTAGTCATACCACAGGCATTAACCAAAAGAAGAAAAGAGATCGTCACGTCATAGATATATCTAACAAAGAATGAATATCGGAAGATTCGAAAAATGAAATAGTATAACAAGTACAAGTCTCTCGCAAAGCAAAAATAATGTTTTTTTATTTTCTCGTTCTTTTGTGAGAATAACTGCTTATGTGTGATAAGGCGACTTCATATAAACAGAACAAGTTATGTCATATCGAATAGAACATTGCTTTAGAAGAGGTTAACATCATTACGTACACTAACTCTTTCTGTCTTTATTTATCAACAAAATTTTACTCGTCACGTTCTCTGGCTGCTGCCTCTGTAACTACTGTTCACCAGTCGAATGATTCTGAAAAACGTTTTTTTGACGATGTTGATAACCACATCAGTTCTTTACGTGAAAAATATCGTGAAAAAACCGTTATTAAAAAAGATACTTATGATAAAATATTAGTGACATTATCACTCGAAAAAGGTAAGAGTTCTCAATCGCTTTCTTGGAAATTTATTTTTTGGTGCCGTAATAATTTTCTGTTATCAAAAGTTGCTGGTATCGATGTCGTTTATTGTGTTAAGACTAAAAAGCCGGTATGCTTGTATGAATCGTTTTATGCTGTTGTGAGTGAATGTCATCAAAACATATCACGAGGTGAGAGACATAAAATGCTTGCTGAGATTGCTTCTCAATATTCTTGGATTTCAAAGTTTATTATTCAAATTTTTCTAAAACGTTGTTTTGCTTGTCAAGTCCGTGATGTTTGGACGAAAGCCAAGATGTGATCAAGAATTCTGGAAAATTCTACAAGAAAACGATATTGTAGATGAAGAACAATTGTCAACACCGATAGATGGTTTTTCGGATGACACAGTTTTGGATGGTGGGCTTGTAGCTCCAGATGATACAACTAATTCTACAATTTTTATTGATACTGGAACTGGTCCTGATGATGCTAATTCACCTACTCCTCTTGATCTATTATCAACATCAATTTGTACTGCGCCTATTCTTAATCCACTTTCTGTTGCAATCGCTTCTTCCTGGAATGATAATCTTATTTCTTTTGATTCATCTAAGTCACCCACAAAAGTTGTTCCTCAGCGTCCACTACCATCAAGTCCAGTAATGACATTAGATAAGCCTACTGTCATTGCTTCTTCAGGCGAGACTGGTTTAGGATCTAACTGTTGTACTAATATTCTTGAGGAATTATATGTACTTTTAACTTCTGCATCACCGGTTATTGCTGCTTTTCAGTCATCACCACTTCTGGGTACACAAACTTTTACTTGTTCATCATCTGTTTTCATCCATTGTTGACATTCCATCATCATCAAATACTTTATCACCTTCTGTTCGATCTCCACTGCATGAATTAATACGCAGACAAGCCACGGACAACTATTTAGTTACAGCGAATGAAAAACGTAAACTATATCACGAATATTTACAAAATTTAGCTGAAATACTCAATGTAGGCGATTGTGTTGGTATCAATATTGATGATGTTGACAGAACCAATACAGATCCCAAATTCTTACCATGTTTAATATTTTCAAAAGAAAAAAAAAAGATGACGTGGCATTTCAACTAACTTGTCAGTTTGGGAAATTGGTTTCATCATTTCCAGTCAAAAGTTTGGTTCGTTGGTGAAACATGTCTGTCTGTCTGTCTGAATTGAAAGCTGTTGATGTTGCTGAATTGGAAACTATAACATTGATTGAAGCTTGTAAACTATTAGTACGCGGATCAGTGAGTGGTGCGACGTGTGATTGTAAATCTCAATGTGCAACGAAACATTGTTCTGGTAAAAAAGCTAATGTTAAGTATTCTATAAAATGTCATTCAAATCGAACTGCTGGTTACAAAAATATAGAATAAAGAGAATGGGAACTAATGAAGAAATTTTAAGACATGAAATATTTGTACATAGAGAAGCGAAGATCCTATATTGGAGAAGGTCATGTTTTGTATACAGAAAAACTTCTTCTTACATTAAAACGAACTTGAATTATAATTGTATATAATATGATTTGCATGCTTGTTATTTACGAATGCACTACTAACCCATAAAAACCTAAAAAAGCAAAAAATTCTTGAAAACCCATCCTATATGGGACAGTGTTTTTTTGTGATTCTTAATTCGGTAAACCTGCTCCATTAATATTGTGTTATAGGAAAAATCATCGTCAAGATCAGAAACTCGATTTTATTTGCACCGTAAACCCAAGTGTGTGACGTTGTATTGGTAGTCCGAAAGACCAGCTCATCCAGTGTATTAGGACTAGAGGTGTTAGCCGATCAGTTTTACGGCGGCGGCGAATGAGTCACACCGAAATCAGAAAATTCGACGACGGCGAAAAATGTTTTGGAATACATGGGCCAACCTTCGAATATTGTACTGTGAAGCAAAATAGCAAAAAAATATCTAGATATGGTCGTCGGCGGCGGCGGATAAGTTTCCGCCGACGTTTTATTTTCAGCGGCGGCGGCGAAAAGTCGGCGGTTAACACCTCTAATTGGAAAACTAAAATCTTTCTATGGAATTAACTTTCCACCGCCAACTTTCCAGACACGATGTACACGGATGCCGTTCTTTTCGAAACCGAAATTATTGACCGTAGTAATCTTTGGGAAATCTGTAATCTGTGGTCGATTCTTTCTCGTTTCGCAGCAGGTGGATAGCGTTTTAGTACATCTTGAAGAATAGTGACGACAGCTTCGCTCACATGGACAAATACCATGTTCGAATACCGCTTTTCCAGTGAGCGCTTTTCCTCTTTTTCACTCGAATCGATATTATTATCTTCGTCGCCAGATGATGAGCCATCTTTTGGCAGTCTTTCTGGTACCGCCTTCTTTCTTTATTACTACATTGATACGCCGGGATAACTCGCGTTTGTCGAAGAAATTTTCCTAGGATTTCCGGTAACTCTCTGGAATCCACTTCATCGCTCAGTCCTTGAACACGTAGACTAAGCCGGGTGAAGAATGCTTCTATACCAGAAATTCTTCAACTGACGAAGTCTTCATATAACAGTTATATATATGAAGAAAAGAAAGAATGAGTATAATATTTATCTTTCGCATGTACTTCGAGGAAAGAAAAAGGATGATAACATCACTTTACATATTTACATAAAATCCCTTTTTGTGATGTTCCTTGTCAATCAAACACGTACGTGAGTTAGGCTAACTTATAACAAGGAGATCGTGACGGTCATTCGAAATTCCACAACACAATGAAACTTCAAAAGCTTTGTATTTCACGAAGTTGACGCATGCTTAAGACTAAGAGACAAAGAACCCTCACATACAATGGCAAAACCGGAGTGTATATATTTAAATCGGTCCTACCTGGCTCGCTTTTTAATCAGGACTATCGATTTTCTATGAAAAGTGTGTTTTCGTTTATTAGAAATAATTTTTTTGGAAAAAAACTGTCGTAGCGGTAGCGATGGTACAGCTGATTGCAGCGAATTTTTCGCCATGAGGTCCAGATCTTTGGACAAAGTTCCATGGCTCATTTTGTAGAGAATTGAAAGCTCTTCAAATGTCACAAAGTCTAGACTGTAACAACTTAACGGTCGAGAGATAATTATGTTTTACTCGAAGAATTTCACTTTTCAAAATTATGACTTTTTCGTTTCATGTGAATTATAGAAATTCAGTTTCACATGTAAAAATGAAAAAGTAACTAGGTCAATGTAGTTTTATATGCTCTTGCGAGTGAGACATTGCTCGAATAGAATAAAGAAAATTTGATGGAGTTATTTGCAAAATACTAGAGACAGTGCTTTCTCGAGAAATCTTCGAACGACTTCACGGGGCTTTTCTTTAACTCAGTCAAAATGAGGTCTAAAATAGGCATACACGTAGCTTCGAGTTACCCGAAAACTGGAACCGAGCTACTCGAAATTCGAGCTACCGGAACATTAAAGTCTGTTTTCTTTTCTGATGGGTGTTATTGTCAGGCTTCCACATTAAAGAGGATTCCACACTTTTATACTATTTTGCATGTTAACTTCATTTTACACTTTACGCAAGTAATCTGGACTCTTATGTCGCTTAGTATCTTGCCATAAGAAAAATTTCGTTTTGCACTTAGAGTAAGGCATTTTTGATTTCGATTGAACATCGATTATCCGAAATCGAAAATAATCGAAAATGTCTACTCTAAGTGCAAAGCGAAATTTTTCTATGGCAAGATACTAAGCGACATAAGAGTTCAGATTACTTGCGTAAAGTGTAAAATGAAGTTACCATGCAAAATAGTATAAAAGTATGGAATCCTCGTTAATGTGGAAGCCTGACAATAACACCCATAAGAAAAAAAACAGACTTTAATTTTCGGATAGCTTGAATTTCGGGTAGTTCGAAATCGGGTGCATACCTAGTATAAAAATCAAAAAATGTTTTCATCCTCAGTTTCATATGCAGAATCGAAGCCCCCAAGAAAAAGTATAGGTTGTAAATTTTCAAGTGACCGCTTTATCACGACATGCTCGATCCACTCACGAATCCTATCTTAAGCTCTGAGCAACATGATGGTGAAAGCTGCAGGTTTCTATCTCATTCCTATCGAAAGTTATTCAAAACGCATCCGTGTGTCTTGACTTCTAGCATCGATTGTAGGTTTGATTATGCTCGAACCTTAGCGAGCCTTGCAACGGTTCACGCAGTACTGAACGACTGTCAACGTGAACTGTCACACTATAAATTACACGTTGTATCGAAGCATTCTGCCTATACTATACAGGGACAATCAAAATAGTCGAGAGTCTCAGTCGCTTGGGTCTTGCGTACTTTCCATCAACATCACTATGTTCGGGTCCTTTCCAGTCTAAATGACGGGTGGGCAGTATATATTCGTACGGTACTAGGCCTCCAGGACTGCGCATTCGACGCTCTTGACAATTTCGATGAAAAAGCACTGGCCATGCATGCGACATTTGTGTTTACCATAGGACCACTATGGCTGAGTGTTTGTGTTGTTTGGCACGTGCTTCAAAGGTACCGTGTTCGAACCTCGGCACCACCCAGTCATAGAATAACCTTGGACAAGTTACTAACGGCTATTGTCTCGGATCACTCGTCCGATAGCATGCTCACTACGTTGTGGCACACACCGGTACTAGTAAACCCCCTCCATAATAGAAGACCACCTGGTCTTCTACTTTGTCCCGCAAGTCGAGTTCTAAACGGTGGTCTTCTATTGCGGTCAAACTTTGTCGCCTGCTAGTAGTCCAACAGTAACCCCGACGTACCTAAAGTCTACCCCCATTAGAAGTACGTTTGGGTGGAATTTTTTCTCTTTTCCGTCTCTGAAGATCATCGGCTGTAGGGAAGATATCAGCTGTGGGAAGATATCGAAACTGCTCTGGTCGAACTGCTAAGTGTCACTCAGCACATATGAAACACATTTCAAAGATCTTGTCCGCGTGGTTTCACTACTGTTAGACTTCGCTATTGTACAACTGAAAAACGAAATACTTGAAAAAGTGTTATACAACAGTTATACGTTATAGCCGGTTTAGATCGCTAAAAATTATCAGAAACTACTCGTGAGTAAACTGAAGTTGGACAGTGCAAGAATAAAATTTTTCGAACTTTGTTGCTCCATACCGTCGCTGATTCGAGTCAATTGAAAACGAGTGAACTTTTTATAATTAAAATAGTAGAGGCTTGTTTGATCACGAACAATATACATGAAAAGATCTTGGATCAAGTTATCAACACGAGTCACTATTTGATTTTTTCGCACTATAGTCCTTGGAGTTGGCATGATTCAATCATTTTCTTCATTCTTGCAGTTCTTGTGCACTGTTAGTACCTGTTTGTTGATTCTCATTCTTTCCTGTTGCTACTCTTGACGTCCTTGCGTTCCTGTCAGTTGTCAATCGTCGTCATTTGCCTCTTCAAAGTTAATCCACTTTCGCGCAATTCATTTCGTGTTTCGCTGATATTTGTTACATCCATTTGGATTCTACGCAATGAAGCACAAGATCTTGTTCATATGCGTATATGTGCGCAGATTTTCTACGGCCTTTTCAATGATATGAAGTGAGAACAAGACACGCTCCAACGGCCGAAGAGTATGACAGCACTTCAAGACTTTCCATCAAATGAGTGTAAATTGATCTTTTTTTCACGTTCTCTTCTTCCATTGTGTGCTTACAACATCACAATTGGCAAGAAAGTAAGAAAGAGATTGTTGCGTAAACGCTCGCTTACTTTTTTCTTTGAATGACTCGGCAATCGAAGGAGCAGCTGAACATATTCAAGTGAAACTAGCATTTGTCACACAGAATACAACGGAATGGGATCATGCTGCTGCAAGGGTGTTCGGGTTAGCGGTATTCCTGAGCAACAACCGTCAACAGCGACCGAGTTGGAAGAGCAACGCAAAAGATCCATTTCCTGCCACCCCCTTCCGATGCCAACAGGGTTCGATATCGAAAAAAATGACACACAGTCGACAGCTACTCACCTTCCTCCACTTCCGAACCAGGTAGATACCAATAAAGAGGACAAAGCATTGATTAATTTTCGCCTTCAGCAGCTTTCAAATGAGGGTGGTCCGGCAAATGAGAGTAAACCTGTCATCCCATCTCAGCTACCACCTATCCGACAAAAAATCGATTCTAAAAGAAAGCAACAGCGGTCTAGTTTTCGCCTGGAGTCGCGGCCAACAAGGTCCGATATCGAGGACGAGTACAGCCGAATTGCCACAACGTGTCTGCCGCCGCTTCAAAAGACCATTAATTCTGAAACCGATGACAATCTGGTGCAATTGCAGTTAGAAGAGAGCGATTTGGATGTCGATGATAATTCTGGTAGTAATTGGCGCCTCTTGGTGTTGCCCGAGAAGATCGATTTCTCCGAAGAAGGCAGATATTTGACATCGACTCCGATACCACCCAATCAAACACAGACGAATTCAGACGAAGAATACGCAAAGTCTAATGCTTATTTCTTGCGACCAGTTTCGAATCATATTGTTTCTGATGATGAACATTCATCTTCCCCATTGACTTTATTGCAGATACAACGACTTCGAGAACATATAAGTTTGGACGAACATTACAATCCCTTGCCGAAACATAACTCTCCGATTGATAAAAGCAGCTCGCGAATCTCTCGCATTAAAGAGGACGACATCAACGAGGACTATAGTGATTCGTTCGATGAAGCAACCATTCATCTATCCGACACATCGATTGTTGCCGATACTAGTACAATTGCTAAAATCGATGTTGCCCACCGAGAAGCATTCGATGAATCGTTTATGTCACAGCGTCAACGGGTAATTGGCAATAGTAATTATCGAATTATTAGCGAGAGTTGGTGTCCGAACTCGATTGAACAGCTTGTCGATCAGATCAAAAGCTTTTCGAAGAACAAACCGGTCATCGATCGTTTGTGGATCGTGTTCTACTGGATTACACGGCATATTGAGTACGGCACAGTACCATACATCGGCAAAAAACGTGAAGATAAGTCAGCAGAGGCTGTTTTTCGAACGACGAAGGGTATGTGTGAGGGGTATGCAAATCTGTTTAAACGTTTGTGCGATGATTTGAGCTTGTCATGCGAGGTAGTAAGCGGTCATTCGAAAGCATACGTGTTTGACCTATGCAATAGGGCATCCGCACCGGTCGAACACACGTGGAACGCCGTCGAGATCAACCAGCACTGGTATCTGGTCGATTTGACTTGGGGCGCCGGTCATCTGGATGACAACAAAGCGTTTAAACACGAACTGAATCCGTACTACTTTCTTCCGCGATCGAACGAGATGATCTACTATCACTTTCCCACCGATGAACGATGGCAACTATTGCGGCGACCCATAAAAATGGTACAATACATGCAGCTGCCCAAACTCTGGCCCAATTTCTTTCAGCTCGGTCTCAAACTAGTCAGTCCTCACAACATAATTCACGTTGATCTAGTCCCACACAAATCGTACGCAGTGGTGTTGATACGAGCACCGCTCGACGTGAGTCTTATAGCCAGTTTGACGTTGAAGAAGAAGGAGATTGACGGCGGGCAGCGAATTATGTTCGATACTCGGAAAGAACTCTATATTTGTTATTTCTCTCCAGCTTCGGTGGGCAGGCACACAATTTGTATCTACGCGAATCGAGGCAATGCTGAAGCTGGTTTATACAACAAGGTGGCGGAATTGGCACTCCATATCAGCCAGATGCCTTCGAAGCCGATCAGTTTTCCGCAAACGTGGAAACCCTTCTTCGATTTGAACCTTGAAGTCATTTCGCCGTGCAATACACACTTGATTAAGATGGATTATGGTGATACGCACACTCAAATTCTCATTCGAGCGCCCGACGATGTCGAACTCATCGGTCGGCTTACTATGAATCGTAGTGTGACAGTTTTCGGCGGAGATCGTGTCTTCTTCGATCGAGGAAAAGGTGTCTGGCGATGCATGTTTGCGCCGTGCCACGACGGCCTGTTCGAGGCCTATATCATGGCCAAGAAACGGTCAGATCCAGGCAGCTACCCGATCGCCGTACGGTTCAAGATCGCTGCGACCCGAATTCCGATGCCACCGCTCTCCTATCCGAGAACATGGCATCTTTTTCACGACCTCGATCTCAGGGTGGAAGTACCACTCGATTGTGCCACCGTCACATGGCCCGAGTATGCCTCATATGCCATCGTTTGCATACGTGCACCCGAGGATGTTCGATTGACATGCTGCATCCAGTACAATGGTATGAGAGTGGAGAATGGGTCATTAGTACAGTTCAACAGCAACAAACAGCACTGGCAATTGCTCTTTGCACCGGAACAAACAGGTGCACACAAGTTGATTGTCTTTGCTCAACTGAACACTGCTGCCGGATTCGTATCCGGGGCTGCCGTCGAGTTTCATCTCAATGTCATGCAACTTCGACATCCGATCAAGTTTCCAGTGATCTACACAACATTTCTCACCAAGAAATGTAGAATATACGAGCCTCTTAATGGAGTCATAAAGAGCGGCGCCATCATGTTTATCCATTGTGAGATACCGAATGCCAAACAAGTCGACTTGACAGTCGATTCGAAATGGCTTAAAGCGGAAGGCTATCGAAACCCAATCCTGAAGAGACTAATTACCGTTGGGTCAAAAGAGGTGATCATTTATGCTAAGTATGACGAGAATGCGACCTACAATGAACTTGTCAAGTATACTGTTCAATGATTGCCCACGTTCCAGCAGAATAAAGATGAAACAACGTGGAACTTTGCTAACAGCCCCCTGGAGATTTAAAGAACTTTTATTTCCTGAAGATATCTACGAACTTTTCAATGCCATTGTAGGAAAAGAATTAGTGAAGAAGAAGCATGCATTTTCGAATCTATCCAACGGAGCACAAGAGATTTTGACACGTGAAATGGTCATTCGAAAGAGAGTTCGAGATTTGAGATTTTCTATACGCTTCAGGGATACTCGATAAAAATTTCAAGTAGACCTGAGGTCAACGTTAGGTGAACCTTTTAGAAAAACTCAGGTGGCCCTTAAAGGTTGAAAAGGTCGGTTGATGATTTATGGTGAATAGGAAAGATAATGTACCGTAGCTCTACAATGATCTGACGAAAAGTCTCGTTAGAAAACGGAAAAATCTGCTGGGGATTATTGTAAACACAATATGTTGAATCATGTGGTTCGACAGGAACGCTTGGTGACTTTTGGTGACCTTTGCATGCTTGTACCGAAAGTGGCAAATTTTAAGAGCTTTGTCCACTCTCAATTGAAACCCAAGACTTGCACCCCAGAATGATGTTCTCCTCGGTTTGGCTATTGAACAGAGCTTTTAGATTGAAAAACTGAAGGATTTTGTAGACTTCAAAAAGGGCAGTTGATTTATTTCTCCAGTTTTTGATAGCGAAAGCTGCTTGAAGAATGAGATCGTACTCCACTCCATCCATTGTAGCGTAAAATGTCAGATATTGTTCGACTATAAAGTGTAAAAGAGGTGAAGCTTCTCCTATACAAGGTGGTGCGAAATCTTTTGCAAGGGGTTACAGTTCCAACGACAAATGATATAAACATGAATTATATACCAAATAAAAGCGCATCAAAAACAGAATTAACGAGTATAACCGGTAATCTGTAGGTTCATTATGAGCGATAGAATTATGGAAGTTTCTATCGGGAGCGTGATAACTACAAACCAGTTGGTTTTCATGCAGCAAAATTCCACAACCCTTCTGTACAGATTATAATCTAATTATTCTCCGCTTCGACCGCTACACTATATTTGCGTATTCTTGTATATTACCAGGGAGAATACACGAAGCAGAGCAAGCCCAGCACATTTTATAGAAACCTATGTATTTTGCGTATTCTGGTGTATTCTCGTGTATTGTCAGTGAGAATACACCAAGCCCAGCAAGCCTGCAAATAGTCTCTTTTTAAGAATACACTGCGTACTGATATTCTGACATCTCTGTCACAAACTGAAAAACCAGCATTCTTTTCAATCTCCCCTGAGCATTCGAGATATTCAGCATTTGCCCATCGTCACAGAAACAAGAGGTCGATAACGAAGCTCCACATAGTACCGAGGGATAATCTGAGAAATTTTCGAGATGTTCGACCGTCAGACTGTTCAGACGTGACCTTAGAAAGACGACAGAAAATATTTTCATCAACTAAACGTGGAATGTTTTTTTGTACAAGTGTCAACTAAACATCAATCGGTGAACGACAACATTGTGCTAACAGAATATAGAACTATCACGCGGAAAAGGTTCTATTTCATCAAAATGATCAATCTTTGAAATCGATCACGGATATCCAAAAGAGTCACACGAAGTCGCCCGACAGTGAGAAATTTGGTGTCGCTTTGTCAAAGAACATTTTTGTCTGATAACCGCCATCCTTGAAACGATCCTAGGTGTTCTGAACACTTTACACGCAGTGAATAGTTTGATGTAAAACGACGGGTCGATGTCAAAATCGAAAAAGCGCTTTCCTTGTGTCAGTTGTTTCTCTTCTCTCTGTTTCAATTTCATGCCGAAGTTGTTTTGCTCACTTATTAAATTGAGATACAGATCACTTTTCTTTATTAGATGCTCAAATGAAAGACAAAGCAAGTGTCGCTGTTGAGGATGAAACCTATTACCGTCTATGTATGTTATATTACCGCGTGGGTGTAAATCAATATACTGTTAATAAGTTTTCTGTTCGTCTGGAGAACTGATCACCAGTTGTTCCTGTAGAACGGAAACTGGTTACCAGTTCTTTTCAAAAAAACGAGAACTGCTATGAGTTCTTTTCAAGAATTCAAAATAAAATAAAACCGATGTACCTAGTTATATTGACTTAGTTTAGTCAACTAAACACACCATCAATCTCCGGCACACTACACAAAGTCAATGTAAGTAGGTTCACCGATTTTATTTCAGTTTTAATTTTTTGAAAAGAATTGATACCAGTTCCCGTTCAAAAGAACTGAACTGGAACTGTCCCACTCTTACATAACGGCGAAAAAACTGTATGTTTAAGACCCGTTAACGTAGACCTAACAGGCCGTTTACACGACGTTAGCGGTGTTCTGTGTGGCCTGAGAAAATTCGGAAATCACACAAAAATTGGTTTTCCGTAATGTATTAAAAAACGGCCTGTTTAAAGCATCTAATATTGTATGTGTCATGAAACATTCAAAAATCATTTTAAAATTGCTCTAACATAAAGTACTGAAACACGGAGTTAATGTCCATTTCGCGTTCGCTACGAATTTAAAAAGCTTCAAAGGCCACATATAAGTACACTCTTATATCTAAACACTGCCAACTACCGCGAAGTCAAACAACACAGCAAAAGTTCACTTCGCGGCGAAATCAAATCTTCTACTCTCATCTACCCTCATCTATTCCGACTAGGCCTACATGCGTTAGATAAGGGTAGATGAGAGTAACAGATCTGATTTCGTCGCGAAGTGAACTTTTGCTAGTATTTTAAATTCTCCGTGGACGCGAAACAATCAATATGTGGGAAAACGACCTAAAAACGGACCGTTGAGTGGCTGTTAACGGCCTGTTTACGATTTAAAGCATGGTCAATTTCTCTATGAATAATAAATAGTCAGAAAACGTTCAGTAAAATCTCAATAAACGGTGACCGTTAACTGACTGTTTTCTGACCGTGAAATGTTCACGCTAAAAACCTCGAGCCGTGGGTTAACTTAACGATAATTATGAGATAAACGAGCCACAAACGAAAAAGAAAACAATAGTGACACAACCATTTGGAATTAAAATTCAGTTTTTGATCTTTTGAATAAGTAAAATGATCAGCAAATTACGTGGGGCAAAACGTATGTTGATACTAATTCCTTGTATCGTAATAGCTAGTCACCTGAAATTTTGCATGATCATAACGTTCACTGAACAGTGATAACGAAATAAGTTTGAGGCTGGTATGATGCATCAAGATTTGATTTTTTTCCGTTAAATGCCAACAACGTCTGACCCACGAAAGATGAATACTTTACTTTTGCACCAAAATGCAATCATAACTCTTCTATTTCTGGTTTAAATTTCATGCGTTAAATGTAATGATCAGAGAACTATAGCTATGCTACGATGAGCTACCACTTCTGAAATTTGATATCCTCTTCAAAAAATTCATAACTCATCTTAGAAACATTATTTTGACTTTTAGCTTTCAGCAAATATTCTGCAGTATCTGTATATTATTCATACAACTAACGATTAAGTGACGTATGGTTCACAAAATTTATTAAGAGTATATTGATTTATGCCTACGCGCTAATGTAACATACATAGGCGGTAATAGGTTACTTAATCGCTATAATCATACAAAATTTCAAACTAGCTATTACAATGTAAGGAATTCAGACATCAACGTACGTTTTGTGCTACTGCAGCTTTGTTTACTAACGAAAATCAGCTATCATCTACTCGAAAAGAAGCTCTCTTTCTACGTTTGATTGTTTGATTATACCTTGGTTCCATTTTTCGTTCACTTTTTACAGATTAAATAACGTTTTTTGCCACTCTTTTATCACCATAATTTTTCTTTTTTGTTGTTCACAGCTTGCAGTCTATTGTTGCATTGAATTTTAGCAATGCGGCATAGTTTCCGAAGCGAAAAATTGGCATCGATCAGCATCGATGCCAGTTTGGCATTGCCCGGGAACTGGTGCGCATCGATCATTGGCGATGCCAGTGACACATGGCATGGCATGCACACCTGTGCGCACCGCCGAAGCCAATCATTTTTCGTGCCACAGCATCGAATTTTTTTGCAGGGTAACTCTCGATGTAATTTTTTTATTTCTCAGAACAGTGTACAAACAGATATTTTTCTTTCATTATCCTTTGGACATTTTCCACTTAATGTTGATATCCTTATAGAAAATGCTGTTATTACGTATACAAAATGTTTTCTGTTTGCTTGATCTCGATTGTGTCGATTTGCTTGAACTAAAGAGAAATGTGTGCATGTTTCATATTAAAAAATAATTCACATGTCGTCAGACCCGGTACTATCTACAATATTGAATATTTAACTAATATATTCAAATATAGAATGAATCAACAAGTCAATAACAATATTAATCATCTAGATAAGTGTACAACACCTGCGATACATCAAACACTAACAGCATTAACAAATAATATTCCAAAAACTATGTCTAAAGAACCATTTTTACACTTATTTGTTTAGAATATTTTAAACAATTTCAGCAAATCGAAAATAAATATGAGTACAATGAATGTACTCTACGATTTACATCATCTTTTTTGATATACGCCGAGAAAAATACTTATGAATATTCAAGAATAAATTTACCCGGTTCAAGCTAAGTGATTTCTGGTAAGAGATTTTCGTTTAGATTAGGCATTTCCTACCATGAAAGAGAGTTTCTCAGGCTATAAAAACTGTCTCTCATCAAAATGCGCTAGAAAATTTTATGTTCTGCCTAATTTTAACCAGGCTTGACTTCACTTGGCGGAAAAAATTTCGAGGGACGACTTGACTTGTGAGAAATAATTTTCCAACCTCGACTTGATTTGACTTGACTTGTGATTTGAAATACCTCTAACTTGCCCAGCTCTGATATAATTAATCGCACTTCTTTTCCAATGCACTTAGGCCATACAACGAATATTTGGGGATCATCAATCACGTGAAAGTGTACAAACATGTTCTGCTGTTAATCTCTACTATAAATCCTTAGTTCATCCACGGAACCATTATAATAACCAAATCCTAATAATCCAGTTGATGTGGTACATAATGGATAGTTAACGGATGCTTTTAGTGTACTGGCTATTGCCATATAATTTTGATAACCACTTGCCAGATATTGAGTTATAGGAGATGTTGTTGAATAAAGTGTTCCGTTTATATATAGTTTCAAATCGTTTCCTACAATGAATGTCTCAACCACATGTGTCCACGTGTTTAATGTAAGAATCAGACCGAGTGCACTTTGAACTTAAAAACCATCGCATACTTGTACAGCCAGTTGTCGTGATGAAGTAAAGCCAATGAACGGTAGACACCAACCACCTACCCCTAAACAGATTTCTCGTACAATTCACAATTCTCGATTACTCAATTCACAATTACCTGATGCATAGCTCGATACATGCACAATAGTACCATACAAAACGTTTGCATTAATCCATAGTCCAATTGAGAACGACGAACTCACAGTTCCAAGTGCGGTAACTTAAAAATATGAGTCAGTTCCGCCCGTAAATGATAAGGCTTGATTTCTCTGCCCGCTGATCATTGTCTGTCAGGCAGCAGTTCCCGCCAGCATATTTGGACGAGTATCTACAAGCGATCCAGAATCAAAGGAAAAATATGCAACTAATGTTGCGTCATTTAAAATCTCACATGCGCTCTTAGCACGATTACTAATTGAAAAATGATCAACATATGCATTCAAATAATTTAATGGTGCACTAAGTAGCATATTTCTTCCAACAGTTGCGGGTCCACCTGTTCCAATAAAAGACCCACCTTGTAACATTCCATTTAAACCATATTGGAAAGCTGTTGGTTCAGCTATTCCGTTTACATATATCTGTCTTAAAAGCGTTGTTAAATCAAAAGTAAAAGCCACATGGATCCATTGTCTGAGAAGTCCTAACAGTGATGTTGTTCCTGCTTTATCATCCAAATAAAAGCCTTGATATAATACATTTGAACGTATCGTATAGAACAGACATTGATCCTTAGACTCTGCTGAACATTGACTAACAATACTAACTTCGGTAGCGTAGGTGTCATGCAGTCACGCTTGGACAAGGTGATTACTGCTTTGTCACTGTCATAATAAAACATCAATTGTTGCCGTTTGTCAATCAGTGAGAATTGAAAGAGAAAGAATGGTCGTTGATGGAAATGATATTAATAAAGTGAATTTATGCATATTATCAAATTTAATTCAGTTAGATTCAAATTTTTTATGGTGGACAAGAACACTTGTTGATATATTAAAAATATTTCATGAAAGTCATAATATTAATAATCAACATATTCAAGGTATTACAGCAGCCTTATTAGCATATTCGAAATTGAAACAATCACCGAAAGGTGTCGAAACACATTTACGTAGTTTATTAATTTCATATGAAAATATTCCATTAGAACTTAGTATGACGATATTAAAGAATATCAATGTCAATACATTATTTGACCAATGTGTAAAACAGAACCAATATATAAAAAAAGAAATGTTTAAAGTGGTCAAGTGTGTTTTATCATTGGATATAGACGAAGATCGTTTCAACGATTTCATAAATATCATATCTGTACAATTTATGAATTATCCTAAAGTAGCCAGTTTACGAGGACATTCGGGTAAGAATGCGTCAAATGTTTTCCTCTTAAAACATAATCTGAAAGACGCCTTGTCAAATCCTACACTTTCCGAAGCGTGAAGTTCGTGTAGACGGGCATGGTGCACACACTTTTTTCTACACATTAGATAGGCTATTTGTTATTCACAGGTATAAAATGCATAGATATCAATGTGAGTTATTTTAAAACAAAATATGATGGTTCATCAGAAAAATATTTAATCATCGATTTATGTACAGTTCTTATTCACGAATGATTGCACTCTGTTGTAAGAATGTATACACAAAACTACAATTTTTCTGCGCCAGAACAAATTATCAGTGACGTGATGGAACAAGGTTTAGAAAAAATGTTATTCACATGTGCACCAGCATGGTATTTGGTTGAATTATATGATAATGTTGGTATTTACAGTGAATTTATTGACGAATGGTTAAATAAAGTATTAAATGGACAATAACCTCCTCGTCCAGTTGCTGATTTCTCGCATAAATCGAGAATATCTGTTGGAATCGGAATGGATTTGGAACAGAACAGACAAGTTCATTTTTATGAAATATCATGAAATCGAACGATGTATTATGACTCATGTCTCTTCTTTGTATTGTATTTCTAGTTGAATATCTTACATTTCATCTTCAGTGTTTTCGAAATCAATTATTTGGACAGAGGTTCAATCTGTTTTCAGCATACACACTACTGATCTGAAAAATGTAACAGAGTGATGCCAAGGCTATATTTCGCAATTTAGTATCTCGAAATTTCAATATTGAATTTATGAGACCTGTGGCGCCCTCACGACTTATGGAAAGCGTTTTTCTTCTAATTTTACAAAAGCATATGGACTAGATGCAGTTTTCAACGCTGATCAAGAATATTAACAGATAGCTGCTTAAAACTTGTTGGAGTGCAAAATTATAAATAATTCCATGGGGAGAAGGCGTAGAAGAATAAGAGCTCCCAAAAGATGAGTTCTCATACGGCCATTTTCCATTTCACAAGACTTTTTCAAATTTTTTATATAATTTGTTTTAGAGTGTTATGCTGACGAGGAAATGTATCCAAGTGATAGGTTTCCTCGTAAGTAAAACGTTGGCATTGTTTTCTCAGAAAAATGAAAAGAAATTTTGCACTCTATTTTATACCCTCAGTTATCTGAAAATCTTTTTTTGTCGAGATTCAATTCATATGTTATCGAGGATTATAGAAAGGGTCACGTGCAGTTCTAAAATGACACACTTTTGTGCTGTGTGAGATTTGACAGACGAACTCGAAAAAACATGTTTCGACAGGAATCGCAGCTCATTTTTAACAAAAGTCAGATAAGACAAGGCAGCGTGGTCGAACAGTCTAAGGCACCCATCGGCTTGACCAGACGTTACGGAATTTCATTTTTCAGAATTTTGAACCCTCTAGTTTTTGACATGGATGAGCCACAGAGTTAAAAATTTTATTACAAGTGTAGTTTGTGAAGTTCTAGCTGCGGTGAAAATTTGAAGTCTCTGGCTCGCATTTATAGACAGAAAACTTACTCACTGTTACGGAATTTCAAAAAATGGAAGTGATTTTCGAATGTTTTCTGTATAACAAAAAATGCTCCGAATGTAAATGTGCTATGAACAAATTCCGCACGACGAAGTTGTAGGTAAATATGAGATATGATCAGTACGATACGTTTACTGATTTATTACGTTAACATAAAAAAAGCACAATTTAATCACCAGTGAAATTATCCTGTATTTTTCGAGGAATAAAACGTAATGATTCCGCATGAGATAAACACGCTTAAAAATAGAATATTCGACTCTCAGTGCTATTTGAATAATGACGTATTGCTATTTTATCTGTATCTAGTACAGTTAGTGAGTGAACTTTTTGAATAGCAGGTACTGTCAACGAGATTATGCGGTACGCCGAAAACAAATCATCCTGGGACCGAATTGTCGAGCCTTTTATGCCTGAAAAGTCTAAGAAGCCCGATCGATGATGATGATGATGATGACTGACTTAACATGAGCAAATAGAGATGTCAGAGCTTATAACAATACTGTTTCTTATTTTTCATTAACGAGGGAAGTTCCCCAACTGTTCGCTTTTCGGATGAAACCTAATGAATACTAGGTTATCGACCATGCCGATTCCGAATATGATCATGCGGATTGCCCTTAGCCTTTTGAAGATCCGGTTTTCTGTGCAACCAGTTATTCAGAAACTCTAAAACATGACCAAAACCTTTCTTAATGAGGCATACTTGCTCGTAAATTTCTGATTAAAATGAGACATCGCCCAGCTCTACATGACCTTTCTTTGCATAGTTATAGAATTTATAAGAAAAGACCTAAATGTTCATTGTCAGCTCAAAGCTACAGAAATAAGAAGAAATTAGTTTAGGTCTTTTCATGTAAATTCTATAACTTTGCAAAGAAAGGTCATGTAGAGCTGAGAGATGTCTCATTTTAATCAGAAATTTACGGGCTACAATTGTGCCTCATTAAGAAAGATTTGGGTTATTTTTTAGAGTTTCTGAAAAACTGGTTTTCCAGAATACCGGATCTTCGAAGAGCTAAGGGCAGCCCCCATGGTCATATTGGGAATCAGTATGATCGATAACCTATTATTCTCCAGTTTTCGTTTTCTATTCTTATTCTAGTTTTCGTTCGGAAAGCGAACAGTTGGGGAACTTCCCTCGTAAGTGAAATTCCGTAACGCTACCTTTTGTAACTATATCGTATCACTTTTCAAATAAAAACCAGTTGAAAAGGTAGCCCTAGAAATACGAAATCTTAATATGCTAAATGACTTACAGAATTCTCCTAGCTTGTTTGAACAATTTTTAAAATACCGATTTTTCGTTACGGAATTTCATTAAAAATGCGCAAGTTTTCTGATTAATTTTCAAAAGCACGTAAAAGCTAGAACAAGAATTGATACGATCAGTAAACAGAACAACTTCTTCTCTATCCAGCAATGTATTTTTCTTAAGCTGA